TTTTCCTACCTCCTTCCTTGAAAACGTCGGGTGGCAAACGGTCAGGTCCTACCACTTTGCGTCGTTTTAGGTTCGAAACAGCCTTCTCATTTTTATGGACAGTCGGTCAGCCGATATCTGCATCCCATTCAAGTTCAGGCAGGATTATGAGCAACTGAAGCGTTACTTCAACGTGTTCCGCACAATGTTCTAGCCACGTATCCTGAGAAGTTATCAGCGTCACATCCTTTTCGGTGATTGTTTGACTAAACATTGTCTTCTTGTCGATATCCTTAATAAGCCCAAATGGTTGCCATATATTTTCTAGCGCTGATGCCTTCTCCACCTCTAACCATTCCACCACCCACCACTGCTGGCTATAATTGCGAAGACTCTTGGTTAATCTATGTTTGAGTCTCTTTCGCCCTTCATTGCTGTCAGAGCCAGCTGGAATCAGTCTTCTCGCACCAATCAGTTCTGATAACTCCGCAGAACCCCACTGACGTTTGCTAACCTTCGGACGTAGGTTACCGACCGTCTTCATCACGCCAAGTTTCCTCAGGATCAGCATTGGTGTCACGTCAGATAAATGCTTACCTATGTCCTCCATAAATACGTACTTGACGTCTTCATCGTCCAATGGAGCATAGATGTGCCTTACTATCACCAGTTTCCTGGCACGAGTAGGGCGCATAAATACACGAACCTGTACTAACGCGTAATCGGAGCCCAAACAGGTACTGCAGAAAGAGCGGCAATCCTCCAACTACGGCTAACAGCAGTGTGATCTATGTATTTCCATCTTTGTTTTGATGTCGACGAACCCAATATGAAATTAGCACTGGCCAGAAAAAAGTTATTGTCAGAACAAAATTGCAACAGACGATCACAGTTGTCGGTTCGTTAGCATTGGATTCTGTAAATACCTTCAGGTGCCTTTCTGACTTGCTCAGCTTCCTTACTTGAACGTCAAGGTCACCTGCTATATTTGGAAGTTTCGCTTTCTACAACAAAATTGACAGCTCATGGAATTCATCCTTTGCTTCATCTGAACTGCAGTCGGTGGATGCGTAGGTGGAGATTATGAACATACAACCTCTGGTCTCACGATCTTCCCTACTTCTTACAGATCCATTCAGTCGAATATCACACAGACGGCTAATGACTAGTATCCAGTCGAAAAGCACACTTTCTGTTTTACAGCTCAATGCTATGCCTACATCAATGAGTGCTAGCCATTAGGTCCAGGGAGACTCGTAAGGTGGATTGTAAAAATTCACTACAATAGCCAGTTGAGATCTAATTAATGGCGACACTCAGGCAGTTGACACTTCCTGGCTGCCCATACCTGAAACAGGAAAAGATTCATTTGACCGCAGAGCCTATGGGACATATGTTTGAGGCTTCTGCACACAGTTGTTTGAGGATTGTTGATTCATGGTTTGATTGTTCTATCACCAGATAGGAAAAAACCATACCGGTGGCACCAAAAAACCACAGGGCGGGGAGGAATGTTTTTTTGGGCCAACCTTTTCTAACCCTTGCTTCCCACTGGGAAGGCACCTTCAGCATGGTAAAGCTGGTTATCCTCGAGAAGTAGCTTCCTACTGTCACACCTCATCTCACCAACATAAGGACTTCACCACCAGACTCCCGTCATAGCTTAGCCATCTACACTATAACAGTAACTACCCTTCGTCTTACTGCTATCCAACAGGTCTTTTGGTATGGCAGGACCCTGAAGGAACAATCATTCCAGCCAGTGTAGCTGGTCGCTTCATTGTGATATCCAAACTCGACCACCACGTCTAGGTGACAGCTTTCGGTTGGTATCTAACTAGCTCACTTATTCGTTGTATTTTTTCCCCTGAATTATGCATTTTGGCATCATCTCTGGCAATTATTGTTTGCCAAGAATGTTCTAATTAATGGCGTACGAACTTGAAATCTTAACATGCCTTGTCTTAATTGCCATTCGTGTTACTTCCAATCTTATTGTGCACTTGCACGCCGACTGATTTCTTGTTGACAAACTCAAGTTTGTTAAGTTCCCATTATAATCTAGTAGTTAATTTCATAGGATGTAGGCATCTCAAGAGAATCTGACGAAATAAACGGACTTCATTTCATAATGTTCAATTCGCTGTACATGCCCTCTTCAAGTTCATAAGAGGAAATATATACATGAATGCTTCCTTATTGAATTTGCTTGAAATCTCACTTCAATGTAATTTTGATCCGTGAGTATGTACTCAATCATACGGTTGAATAGTGTGGTATCCGTGTTACCTATATCTTTGCTTTCACAAGCAAATACGAATAGATATACAACTGTGGAGGATCAGTGTAGCTCTAAGAAATACAAATTGTGCAGCACAGTAACTTCGTCTTATGTCGTAATTTATCTAGCTTGTGTATAAATATCTGGTACACATCGTTTCCTGCAAACAGAAATCCAGCACATACAGAATTTTATAGGTCGATAAAGGCAGTTCCTTTGTCTTATTTGATTTTTCACTAATTGTCAGTGAATGAATATCCATCCTCAGATTGGGCGCCTATCAAACTATGTAAGGGCTCATTGGGATTTTTCATCAGAACTAGTGGTGTCCGGCAGGGATTTCAGCTGTCACTATTCCTGCTTAATTTCGTTATAGATGTATTAATGGACATAACCTCAGGTACCTCTGACTTCATAGGGATTGAAGTAGTCCCTGGAAGCTATCTGGTTGACTGGGAGTATGGAGGCGATATTGTTCTGCTAGATGAAGATGATAAAAAAACACAGGGTCTTCTGAACACCTTACGAAGAAATCTGAATATGGCATGCGTTTATCACCTGTCAAAGTTAAGGTGACGATGCAGGACTGGTCTGCGAATACTTCTAGTTTGGGATAGGAACTGAAGTAGTGGAATGTGTTGACCACTTTTACTACTTGGGGAGTCGTATCAGCTGGAACGTGGTAGTTGCTGGTGAAATTCAGCTGGGATACAGAAAGCCCGTTTGGTATTAGCCAGCTTGCTTCATCTTTGGGACCGACTGACGAGGTATCGGGCTACCTATTGAAGGATGAGTATACTGCTCTGCAGTTCGTTCTGTCCTGTTATATGGCTGTGCGGCATGTCGTTAAAAGTAGGAGGCATGTTGCAGTATCTCCGTAGCGTTGCTCGCGTATGTTGGGATCACTGTGTGAGGTATGTTCAGGTCAGACGAGGGGCACTATGAAAGACAGGCAAGTCCGTTGATGAGGTTTCGAACTTTCATCGATTAAGATGGCTTGGATATGTGCTATGCATGCCATGCCATCACCTACCTCAACGTGGATCTCTAGGGAAAGAGGGTTCAGAGTGGCCGTACCAAGACTTGACACCAGTTGATGAAGTCCCTGACTATTGGTCTGAGCCGTGTGGGGAGATGTAGACTACCCGGCTGGAGTTGCTGAGACGGTAAGAATCAGTGGTTGAGAATTCTTGGTGACATGGCTGGAAATCGGTCACAGTGGTGCAGATGTACCCACTTTTGACGTTTTCTGAAGCTTGAATACTTGCATTAACCTTTGTCTTCAAATCGTCTATTCTTTCCTAGAACTTTGTCTACTTTGAAATGTTTTTTCCTATTCACTTGTTCTTTGTATGATACTGTGAGCTGTGGCAACTTAGACCGATGTACTTATGTGTTAGCTTCGACATTGATTTTTTCTATCTGTTTGACACAAAAGTTTGTTACTGTATAGAATGATGTTCTAACTAGATTATTTTTATACTCAATCGAAACATGGCGCTCAAAGTCCACTTACTATTGTTTTCATAATGGCTCTTTGTATATGATTATTTCTGTATCTCCGCTGACCCTTTTCAACAGCATTTTAAAAATCTAATGGTATCATATTCCCTATATTGCATTATAAAATTGATATTAGACTGGCATGGATTGAAGTTATTCACCATGCTTTCACTTCGAGTTTTCTTCACGGAAATCCACCAGATTCATCAAATATTTTTGTCTTAATCCTGCTACGACTCACTCGTTGTCGTAGTGTGTAACATGCTTTTAGGCATTGTTTCTGGATACTCAGGATGTTATATTGATCTTGGTAACTAGCAGAGGAATCCAGGATGCAGGTTCTGTACTATTTGGGACTTATCGACGGGATATACCTGCACCTCAGTGAGTGATGTTGTTCTCACTGAGACTCGAACCCAGTACCCATCGCTTCGAACCCGAGGCATTATCACCCAGTGGCCTAGTAGATAATCCGCATCCTGGATTCCTTTGCTAGTCACCAGATCAATATAACATCATAAACATTTGGTAGTATTGAGGCGTCTGCATAGGAGCCCATCTGCCAACAGGGGTCGAGTGATTCGTCCGTGTATAGCAACGGGAAATTACAAATATCATGACTACTACTGATACTCGTTGCTCAAGAGAGGTGACTATCATGCTCTAGGGGACAACGCTTCTGCATTTGAATAGATGGGTACTGGATTCGAGCCTCATTGGGAACAACATCACTCACTGAGGTGTAGGGTACATCCAACTGACAAGTCCCAATTAGTACGAAACGCGCATCCTGGATTCTTCTACTAGTCACCAAGATCGGTATGATTATGCTATTCATTTTGTTTTACTGCATTTTGCTAATCTTTTCTTTAGACTAAATGAGAACAATACTCTGCTCTTATGGCTTAAAAGGTTATGATCGAACGATAATCAAACGTATCAGTTTAATCAATAGTGTTGTAAGTAGAATGTGAGAAGTAGGTAATCAGATAACGCATGATAGGGATAAAGCATAGGATGATCCCGTCATTTGTTTTTACTTTCGTGTTGTTTTCATTCAATAAGATAGTCGTGTTTCAGACTGAGAAATTTGGCTTATGAAATCTACTTCATTTGCATTGACTAAGTATACACTTGAGATTTATTGTAATCGTTGATAAGCTAATATCATTAAAACTGCTGTCTTCTATCACATTTTTTTGAAATTATTATCACTACAATATCTTAACTTATGTAGATATTATCAGAGAATCATTTACTCAATGTGTTAGATGAGAAATTATCATCCCAAAAGTACTCATCTAATCCTCCATGTGAACTTGTATTCGATCAGATAGATAAACGTGTTATTCAAAAGCAAGAATGTAACCCATCTCGTACTTCACCATCATATGATAACGACTATGAAAAGTCAACTAGTACAACTCCAACCAATACAACAGCAGCGACAGCATCACTACCAACAACCTTATCATTATCACAGACAATTTCACCGTACAACGAACAATTACAATCATGTGCACATGTAACTGAATTATTAAAGAATATTATAGGCAAATGTTGGGAGTATCGTGAAGATGTAGATATCTATCGTGAATATTTAGCAATTTTAGAACGTGAGTTGTTATTTATTCTATTTTTGGCAAGGTGTAAAACTTTGTGTGTAAAGTTATTCGTGAAGTGATTGTTTTCACCCTTGAGAAAATGAATAGGTCCAAGGATGTAAACGACTGAACAACAGCTGATCAAAAACTTTCGATACTCAAAGGTTATATGGTTCTAGTTGAAGATTCCTACCAAGATTTTCGAAACTAGAAATCATGAGAACAAGAGACGAAAAACGCTTGGTATATTCAACTACGCCCTCCATGGTCATTGAAAGTTAATCATGAAATGACTATAAACAGCAGTTTGTCACCAATGCCTTTGTAGCATCTTTTGGAAGTGATGTAATTATCGAGTACATATGGTCGAGATTATGTTTAATCGATTTAACTGACTATGTAGTTTGATGATGTTCTGAACATGTATTGAGTAATATGAATCAGTGATAGCTGTCCACTTTTGTCTTTCATATATTGTGGAATAGTTGGAGTGAACTTCACATTGGTTGGTAGAGGTATGCGTTGGGGAGTTGTAAGTTCTTTTGCCTCACTATGCAAATATCTCTCACTCTTTCTAGGTTATAATACAATACTCATGGCTAACTATTAAACCAATTGCTCAATCATTCAGTGAAACTAAGAATTGATTAGAAGTATTGTTTTTCATGGTTTATTCACCTTCTCAGCTTTGTTTTAATCCACAATATTTTTTGGGTAAAACAACTATTAAGCAGATAAGATCTTTCATACTTAACACTGTACTTTATAAGTGAATTCTTCACAAAGATGTTTTTTCTAACTTATTTGAGTATCTTTCTTGCACAACTTTGAAGTTTATTGCTACCCGCTGGTATTAATTTTCATAGATTGACACTTAACTATCAAAGACTAACTCGTCGTTACAAGCTACCTAATATGCAAAATCAATACTAAATAAAAAGAGGACTATAAAGCGTATTGATAACACAGGCATGTGTCACCAATATTGTGAGACAGGCATTCAACTCTCATACATTAAGTTATCCTGTCTAACCAATACCATACTTTCTTCTTGCCACTTGGGGTAGCACATGGGTTTGACGTGAGCTATAATTCAGTTCACAATGTTATACATCTTACACTGCGAACCGATTACACAGAATAAGACAATCTAATAAGTAGGCATATTGAATAAACAATAGTCTCTGTTTATAGGTGAAAGTATTAACCAAAACAGCATATGTAGGTGTTGTGCTTTAATTAACTGACTAACTCACGTTTTGGTATTGACCTTTTTTTCTCAATTACCCAAATTGATATGGTTTAGTTTTTTACTGTAACAGCAAACATCATTCACTGTGCTTATATATTTTTGTATTTGTTCTATCTTACCGAATTGACTAACATTTCCACAGTAATGCATCATAATTTGACTGGAATTTACAACACGATAATCAGTATATAAAAATTATTTAGTATTATATAGATGACATGCTCAGAAAAGTTAGTTGTGGTTAATATCATACATCATAGTTGTGACTGTTGCATTGAATTAGATTCAAAGATAATTTAGCATCTATTGTAAAGACTTAATAGCACTTCTGGTGTTTTTTTCTGTTTTTTTTTAAACTTTAACAACAATATAGCTTTACTGAAGCATACGGAGACAATGTGTAACACTGTCGTTGAACACGGAGGACTTCGGAGCTTAATTTATGCCTGTCGTTCTAATGATCTCCCATCTTTACGTCAAACAGCTGTCTGCTTAATGAATTTAGCGTTGTTTGGTGGGAGTGAAGGTCATAGTGAAATGATGCGTCAACATGCTATTGAATGGCTATTTTGTTTAGCTTTTCATCAAGATGAAGTAATTAAATACTTTGCTTGCTTGACCAGTGCTGTATTGTCTACTAATCCGTAAGTATTTCAACTTGCCTGTTATATTTCAATTTCATTTTCCGAGGTCGAGCAATTTTGACCTAGCATAACAACAGGAAATTAAAAGTATCAATAAAGCAACAACTGATACCCATTGAACAAGCGGTGCCTCTCGTGTCCCAGTGACCTAGTGGATAACGCTTTAGCGTTTGAAGTGATAGGTACTGGGTTCGAATCTCAGTGGGATAATATCACTCACTGGAGTGCAGGTACATCCGGCTGATGAGCCCTAAAAAGGACGAAACGTGAATTCTAGATTCTACTGCTAGCCATCAAACAGATCACAATAGGTTTTGAAATATTGACCGATTTCAAATATTTATTTCATTGAAGTAGTGATGTTCAATATATCACACTATAAATATAAAGTGTCAGCCTTTCGTTTACTGGCTTGCCTGGGGATGTATATGCTTTGGTCTTTCTTCATATAGGTTTTGCAATCACACCGTTTAGTTCTGTTTTTGTGGTGACTGATTATTTTAGTTTAAATGATCGAAATATTCGATACTGGGAGTTAAGATGAAGTGATATGATCATTAGTTTATCACACTTGATCATCAACTCCTGGAGCTAGTCGTATTGGCAACGTTCCTAATTTATAAAAAATGGAAGGACTCAGGATTCCAGAATAAAGTAAGCTTATTTTACTTTGAATTCCCTCTTCAGCTACAGATATACATGGGATTAAGGAAATCAGGACTAAATATGAATATTTATGAAATTCAGTGGCATTGAGACACGGTAATGTAGACATTACCAGTGGTAACAGAAAAAGTTATGAAGGATATTCGAGAATTTGGAACGAATGTTGTACAATGACTCAATAACAAGTGAAAAGATTGATAACTTTTTTTTGCACAGTAAGTATTTTAGCTGAAGAAGTATTTCTCAGTCTTTAGTGATAGACAACAGAATGTTATTCTGCCTGAAGGAGATGGAAAAGTGGTCGCAGACACTTAAAGACTACAACATCATTACAGAGAAGTTTGTCGAAACATTCAATAAAGCATATATAACTTGAAAGTAAACACAAGATAAAAAATGAAAAGGAACTAGATGGAGTTACCATCAACATTCAATAGTAGTGTCATGTAGCAAAGTCAAAGAAATCCCGGTCTCTTTTTGTACTCAACGGTTAGGTTGGAATCGCTCGACAGGAAACTGAAAATAATTTCAAGGCATGGTTTATGTCTTGGTAAATCGCGAGTCTTTTATACAGAGTATGTATCCACATACCTTAGATAAAAAGTGACAACATTAGCTACTGGTTTCATTCCACCTACTTGAAAATTCGCCATATCAGTGGGAACAAATTCCAGTGAACTTCCTATTGCCAGTTAACCAACTTGTTATTAAAGAGAAAGACATATGTGAATAGATTTACTGGTTTTCTAATGTTATTTTTAAACAGTTACTGATATACTGTATACAGTTCACTTTATGAGATGATCTTAAGGTGACCCTGCATTTTCGACTGAAAAGGAGTTCGGTGGCAATCAGGAGTTTCTCATAGACAACCAATACTCCAACCCGCTTGTTTTTGGTAGATGGAAGAAAAATGATCAGTCTGAAAAACTCCACTTTACTTTGTCCTCTAAATTTCTGTTGTTAATACTAGGGATCTATAAGTAGGTATCAACTGTTCATGCAAAAGCATACTTAGAATTCCATACCACCAACTTCAAACATAATCCTGAACTCTGCGTTCGCGCGCAACTTATCCACTTTCTTTCAGGTAGCTCAACTTATATGTTATGGGCTGCCTGAAAGTATGAGCTATCTGTACTATTACAATGGCACCCAGATCCTTCTAATCATCACCCTTATCCTTTCCTTTATCGTTTTTACCTCTTCCTGTTGCCATTTACCGCAATTTACCCTCTACAGTTTCTCCGACTTACTATCCTACAATCATTAATGACAATTAAAGCTAGGGAAGCATTCTTTCTTGTTTCTTAAAACCACACTCGACTTTACACTGAAGCTTTCAACTTCTGAATTTTATATTTGGTCTGATAATCGGCCTCCTTAGTTAAGAGTTTGAAAACTTGGATGATGGTTGTATTCTGTATTGCTAAAAAATGCATACACAACCTAAGAGTGGCTATCCACTGAACCTCACCTTAACAATATGACTAATCTACGGAATTCAATCCACAATCATTCACAGAGTTGATGGCTACTTTTCATAGACTAGTCAGTGTAAAAATAAAATTGAGTTATGAAACATAGTCCGCACTCCGAAAATGTATGCTTATTAACAGCCATTAATATGTTGTGTGACCAAGCAGATCTGTAAAAACCAAATTGGACATTGAGGCATATTTGTAATCTGCACCTTAGCACTCACCGACTGCGGTTTGGACATGGTATATGATTATTTTAACTCAAAGCTATCAACTTCATTACAATAACTGAAACATTAAATTATAGTAGTTCTATCAGGTGACTTCAACTGTGAAGTGGGTAATCTGAGCCAGTCGGAAAGAAGTCTCCAGCGATATCTGTAAGAATCTGATGTTGCTGACCTGACAAAATTAACACTCTACTACGATTTGTTCTTGATCAAGTTTAACTCCAAACATAAGAAAATACATCTAACTTGCCACTAAAATCATGTCACCAATGGACACCGCTATAAATTCTCTTTGGAAGACTTCCGCTCTTCTTAGAGTATCTTGTTGGACTCCGATTATGTGTTCGCTCAACCATGTGTGCATCTGCACCTGAATGAGTTGTTACAGCAAGCAGCTGTGAGCTTCTGTATGCTTTTCTGGAAGGTCGGAACACAAAATGTATATCTAGGAGGGAGATCACCAGGCATTTACTAAACAAAATCTGAGTCCTCATCTAGATGAAATCCAGTGTAATATTCAATATACTGTCGAGTAGCGATAAAGGTGGGGTAGCTTAAAGACAAAGGCCAATAAAAGACATTGAACCTCTATAGCCTCATATGTAGCGATTGATGCGGGGAGACTCATTTTCGTTGGCTGTGCTGGCGATATGAAGCAAAATCAGCTTAGGAGGATCTTCGTGATGACCACGATTACCTATGAGTGATGGAAGAGAAGAAACAAGTAGGGGCTTCAGGTGATGCTTGATAATGATTCAAATTTATTTAAAAAAATGGCTTGAAAGTTATGGTATTTAGTGAGAATAACACCGTTAAGCTCAGGTATTTGAGGGTTTTAGGAATAATATCTGTAGCGTCAGCAGAACATCTTTAGAAGTTTTTTTGCTGACCTTCAGTCACCCTCTTCCAGCCCTAATGTAAACGTGATGAAGATGCCAGTTCTTTAACTCTCTCCAAAACTTATAGGATTGTTACGACTATGATATTTTGCCCTCAAGTCTGGGAATGACACCATGAATTACGGACTAGAAAAATCAGAGTGTTAGCAAAGGAATGGAAACCAGAAGTGATCGCACTAAACCGATATAACTCATCCCAGAGGAAATAAAGGAAATCTTAGGGTTTATAGTCATCAAACAACTAACTGAAGCTCGAGAAAACCAAGTAGGTTTCAGACCTAGTCGAATGTCGATTGATTAGATCTTATAATCCGACAGGTTTTGTGACAGGCATATTTCTTAATTCCCGACCGTTGCTATTTTTTACCTGAAGGCAGCATTTGGTTCCATCGGTTGAGCATTGTCGTAACATCTAACTTTGAAGGGCATAGTGAGAAATTTTGTCATGCTAATCAAATCCCTTTATCCAAAACCGCACAACCTCTAAAGGGTTTACGAAAAAATATTTTTTGAGATAACAGCATCCAAAGCCGTCCGCTGTCACCATCCTTATTTAGCATTGTTACAGATTTAATGATACAAGTGGTTCTACTTACCTATGATCCTTCAGGAAGTGAATTACTGTCCGGATAGCATGCCTGAATTAGAGTTTGTGTATGACATCATTCTTTTAGGCAGGAAATACTTACAAAACAGTCTGCACTGGTTGCCACTTTAAGTTGTAATTTGCCCGGTGGGGGCTATCACTGAGATATAGGATCAGCATTTCATCCCATTTAGAACCTGTCAAGTGGATGTACAAGCATCTTATTGAGCGGTGGTGTTCCTCCTGAGACTCGAACCCAGCACCCGTTGCTTCAAGCATTAAAACACTTTCCAGTTACCTAGTAACTCACGAGACCCGCCTCTGATGCAACGTGGATCATTTATATTTCTATTAATTCTACTGCCAGCCACCACCAACCAGGTTACATGATGAATCTTTAGGCACTATCAAGGTATCCGCATAGGAGCTCATATACCAAGGGATATCGACTAATTTGATCCAGTATGACGGGGTAATCCAGATATCAGTCAAAGTCTCAGTTTGGGGTTCATGAATATACTAGCAAAGCACACTGACCACTTTACGTACTTGGGATATTGCATCAACCCTAGCGGGTTGGTTATTGATTGAATCTCAACTCAAATAAAAACGGCCTGTTCGGCACTTGCTAACTTACCTAATCTTTGGCTTTTGCAAGATTTCTGATTACGGATCGTGGTGAGTAGTAATCGCACTTTACAAGAAATTTGATAGAGGTAACCGAATTCAAATAACAAGTTGCATAACACGACAAAATCCGTGGAAAATGAATTGTTATCAAAAGATCATTATGGCAGGCAAAAGTTCACTTTAGACAAAGATTTAACCCTACAGAAGAACGAAAATAAAAGGCGTTTTTCAAGGTTAAGTATTAAAATCATGGATGGAGAAGGATCTGAACAAATATCTTTTGTATACAGGTCTGATTTTGTTTATACGAAATAGATGAAGCTTTGATAATACAAAGGAGACAAACACATCCTACAAAGCAAAATCCATTATCATGCTGCAGATAAACTTTAAAGAACAATCTATCAGGATTTGACGGTTAGTGTTAATTAAATGTTGCCTATGCATATTTGTTCTTCAAAGACCATGCTTTAAATTACTTATTGAGACCTTTAGTTATCGCAATGCTAACATCCCTAAGTATGGATTTATGCCACTTCTAGGACAGGTATAAAGGAACTTATTGTGGTTATTCATGCTACTCTACCCAGCCAGGAATGCGTTTGTGTGACTATCTGTCTGAGCATCTGGAATTCGACAGTCAGTTGTAAAGTGGAGCCGTAGGATGAAAGATTTCTGTGTTAGGTTGGTATGTGTAGGTGCCTTACATCTCCCTGAATGAGTTTCGAAAGGTCATATAACTCACTGGCTTGAGATAATAGCAAACGTGGTTCAGAATCGAAACCACTGGCGATCAGGCTACACTTTTCCGGTTTCTGCTAGTTCTGTAAAAGGATAAGAAGGTAGCGAATGCTCCTTTGAAGGCATCTTTAGATTGTCGCTTTAGTAAATCATTTCTGGTTTGTTTCCGTTCTTTCTCTCTTCAATTTTCTATGTCTTCATACTGTTGTACGTTGCATCGCCTGGTGCTCAATTTGCACCAAGTTTGTGTTCTAACAATATAACAATAATGTAAAAACCATGCAGATATAAAATAGAAAGTAAGAATTTAGTTTCATCAGGGTACTGTATAAGATCTCGGGTTCTATAATCATCTGATTTCTAGCTCTATCTAAAGAACTGCAAGTTATATGTTAGAATTATCTTCAGGTGTGTTGATCAAATCGTTACTCTTCTCCAGGTCCTACCAAATAGATCTGCTTATTAGTACTCTAAACCGTCTGTATCTTGTTATCGGAAAACAGCACTTGATCTTGTTGGTAGGAGAGGTCCGGGACAATGTCTCATTGTAGGATTATCTAACAAGTAGTTCGCTCTATTGAGAGACTTTCTACTAGAATACCCTTTCTCGTGTCACAACTAACAGGTACTTACCCTCTGGTATTCAGATGTACTTTAGAGGTATCCACGCTCAGTTGTCATCCGTATTTGCGATTGACAACTATCCTTGCTGAATATTGTTTACTGGATCACAAGTACTCAGAAGACATAGTTGTGTTGAAAAATGCTGATAAAGCATAGCCTTTTGAATAACTTGACCTATGGTGTAAAAAGGTTTGAGATAAGTTACTCACTTGGTTACTGTCATGTCTATAATATGCAATATTTGAATATTCTTTAAGTAACTATGTGAAATATTTAACTAGTTGACACGTAATGGAATCCACAAGCACGTTTAAAGTACAAGAATCCTGTTCATTTAGTATACTGAAATACACATCACATATGAAAGTGTCTCAAAGTTTTTTATCGATTGTACCTAAATGCTTGAGTAAGCCATAGAAGTGTTTTCCTCATTTCAGATATTAATGCCATAATGTATCTCTTATCGAATCTATCATTATTTTTATCTCTTTTTCTTTTCGGTAAGGGAATTAACCGCAGCTGTAAATGCCTCTGGTACTCTCAATCTTGTGGTCCCTTTTGTACGTTCCCATTCACCGATAGAATTTGCTCGAAAGCATTTGGTTGCTGCTTTTCAGTGTTCTTGTAAAATAACTTTCCTCATACTCCAGAAATACAAACAACCGGTTGCATTAAATCAGATACTATAAAATCTTGTTGCCAGAATCAATATAAAGGAGGATCAGCTGATTGGTTAAATCGTTTAACACCAGTTATGTTTAGTAAACAATTTGAACCACGTGTTCTGGTCACCTTCCATTTTGCTGTTGAGGCTACACTGAAGTCTGACATGAAATGTAGTGAAGTGAGTGAATTATTGGCCTTAGTTTTCTTTCTGTTTATAAACGATCCACAAGTTATAAGTATAATTGATTTTGAACAACCGCAGATTGGCTTAAGTGCTATTTACACCAAACTTAGTTATCTTCGAATAACCTTTCGTCAAATTTGTGATTCTTTTTATGATAAACCTAAGATTCACAACACTGAAAGAAATGCTAGTTTTCGAACTGAGCCAATGAGTTTATAAAATATTTATATGTTCTTTAAATGTAAACATCTACTACTGAATACGTTATCTACTCCCTTAAATAATAAAAAAGCAACCGTGATAAAGGACTTATAAGCTATCAGATTTATCACTTCCTTTGAGTGGGCATTTCTTACGTTTTATTATCCAAAATCATACTGCATTGGTGGTATTTCTGCCATCTTAAGGTCGAGCTTTACTTCTGATCTCTATTGGTCGTCACACATCTTGTTGACTTGTAAAAAGATCTTTCGTTTAACGTATTACATAAAGAAACTGAGGCTGTCTGGTATAACTCAGCCTCTACTTTTACAATTGATTAATTCCTGCGTTTTACCTATTCTCTACTGTTCCCCGTTGTTCTTTCCTAGTCTTCTAAAAAATGACTATGTTATATTGCATAGGGCTTTGAGAGCCGTCAGTAGGGTGAATGCTGTGTCTCTGGCTCTACTGATTAACACTGTAGTTGAAAGACATTTAAATTCTAGCAATCAACTAGCTACAGTAATTTTAACTGACACTGAGAATCCCCTTTATTCACAGCTCTGTCGTTGTATCTCCTCAGGGAGGACAAGAAGAGGTTACATAAAACTGTACACTCGTACAGCCAAGTACAAGAATTCGACTGTACCTTACTTAGCAGGTATCTTATGTGAGGAAAAAGTGTTAGGACAGAACTCATCGATTTTGTAACAGTTAACAATCTCATTTCAATAATTTTATTAACTTTCTTTTTCGACGATATCGTTTTCTAAAGCTGTACAATCGTATATATATATATATATATATATATATATATATATATATATATATATATATATATCATAAACATATAACAGTCCATTATAAAACAATAGGGTTTAATTACATCACTAACCAAGTGTTACGAATACGGAGCGAGTACTTATAGTTCCTAAGAAGACCTTGTTTATGAACGTTGTTTTCAAAGGCGATACGGCAGCAGAGATCCTGAAGAATCGGCTGTCCAGATCACTGAAGAAGACATTCTTCTCTGCAAAATTGCAGATCAGTTTCTCTAGTCAACAACTCATTCCGGAGTGCGTTAAGGACAAGTTACCACTTTGCGCCACCTCGATGTGTGTCTACAAATTTACTTGCTCCTGTCGAGCTAGTTATATAGGCCGCACAGAGCGCATGCTTTCCAAACGTATCTCGGAGCACTATCCTGCATGATTGTCGAGGGGAGAATGTAAATCAATTGACAGTTCAATTCTTGAACATTTGGTCAACTCTGAACATAAAGCTAGACCAGAATCTTCCTTCAATGTCATTTATCGTGTCAGATGAAATTGTTCAAAAGGAGTACGCCTTCGACAGTTGTGCACAGCGGAGGCACTGGCAATTCATCAATTCAAGCCTGATCTCTGCGTGCAAAAGAAGGATGTTCAATCTCTCATCTTACCATGGTCTTAACACTTTCATTTTTTCGATTTCATTATAGTTAGTTTATTATTATCACCTTCATTATGACCCTTGTCTCATTTTTCACCTTCTTTACACCTATCTTTCAAGTGTACACTCAATATTTGCGTTTCTTATCTACCAACAATTTTCACCTTGTCAAACTCTTCGCCTTCCTCGATATATCTACTGTCTTAGATTATTACGCAACTACTTTGCATTCTTGATTCGGTTTTTCGTAGCGCTTGGTTAGTGATGTAATTATACCCTATAGTTTTATAATGGACTGTTATATGTTTATGATATATATAAATAAGATTGTACAGCTTTAGAAAATGATATTGTCGAAAAAAGAGAATTTTCTTCGCTGAATTATCTCTTCTCTATGACTCAATGGGCATGTTTCGTAATTTCATTAAGAATGTAAAATGTTCTCTTTTTAATATATTTTACATTACTTCAGTTTTTATAATAACACAATTCGAAATGTTTTAAAGGAGTATAAACATGCTTATATTTTGTTGTTGTTACAACATATCATGCCGAGAATTCCAAATTGTACCACAAATTGTTTAAAATAAAGTAAATTATTATTATCTTATATGAACGACTTATCAAAACCAACCTGAAAAAATCACTTAATACTGTCTACTGTAACCTGTTGCCTACGTTGTAAAATGTTTTTTCATTGCCAAAGTTTTTGGTTTTGTGAACTAAACCGATTAGGATATACTACCGCATATAGTGGAGTGAGAAATTCATCTCGTATCTAGTGAAATTACTCTGGTTTACGGTTGCCATCACTCATTTTAGATTAATAGTGTGAGTTTGAGACAGATCATTCCTAGAAAATTGCCGCAAAATTGATTTTTCTAATGAAGCTGTCTTCCTACTAAGTAACACCTGCGTATTCATAACTAATTTGTCGATTTCTTGGTTAGAACAGATAATATGCTGTGCTCGTTTAAATATCGCAAACTTATAAAATACTCGGGAAATAATTGATAAATGGTTCAATATTGCTTCACCCGCAGGTGTACCGTAGTCATGATTATTAGCAAGGCAGCTAGTTGGTGAAGTGTGTACACAGACAATTTATGTTGCATAACTCTCATTTAACTTTGTCGGTGTATTCGAAAGCTTAATGACTGTCGTCTCCTATTCTTGGCTATTTCCATAAATCTTTCGAAAACTAAATCTACAGGTTTTATCGTCTCATATATATATATATATATATATATATATATATATATATATATATATATATATACTACAATTGGCAACAATACATGCAGTCTGAACAGAATGTTCATGATGATGAAAATAAACACGTTTAACATGTGGGAACATCAAATGTCACTTTTTGTTTTTGCAAGAAAGCCCTGAAATATCAAAATACCAAGTGACGTCAACCTGGAAAAGCAATTACGTTTTCAGAAGGCCATTGAACAATACCCTTGAGTGAGTCAGAAACAAATGAGTTCCAATTACAGTCAATTAGGTGATCGTTGGATTAGTTATCTAGATAAAACTATGAAACAGGAGCAGAATAAATGATATCAGCTTCTATGGTTTCAACTGTGTAAGTACTTTTTGTTAGCACCGTGAGTTGTGCAGTCTCAACAAACGTCGCTTAAGATATTTTGTAAAATTCATTCAGCGATAAAAACCAGTTGAATGTTTTAGAAGGAAACAATGTAGCGTTTTGTCTTCTTATTATCTGATAGTAGGTGATGAATCAAGGTGAAATGCAAGACTAGATCACAGTGGGACTCGGACCAGTGACCTTCAGAAAGGTTATCGGTATGCTGTCAAAAGACTGGATATCTAGTCCACTAGAAGAGGTTATATTCACTCAAGCTATATTAAAAAGGTTTTGTAAATTGTTTCAATAGATGGAAATGCATACTCTTATGATGAAAATCCGGCCACCCAGACGACAACCACGGGCACACTAACAAAAAATGCTACCATGATATCCCCAAGAGCATCGAAGGCTCTCATGAAGTGAGAACCGACCTCCTCCAGGATCATGACAGCAAGATTCAAATCAAAAAGAAAGAAGGAAAGTCACAATCATACAATACTACGCTACGCACCTACAAATAATGCAGATCAAGAGAAGAAGGAGAAATTCTACAGACAACTGCAATCAGTACTGGATAAAACTCCACACCAGATGGTGACATCAAAATGCATTCTAATGGCTGAGGTGATATGAATACCAAACTGGAAGAGGACAACACAGGAAGAGAACCAATCATGGGTTGAGAAGCGCTCGATGAAATGAATGAGAATGGAGAACTGTTTGCAGATTTCTGCGCACTCAACGATTTGGTGATTGGAGGCAGTGTGTTCAAACACAAGGATATTCACAAAGCGAGCGACATGGATTTGATTTCATCAGACACCAGGACACACTTAAAATCAGATAGACTTCATCTCAATGCGAAGAAAGTAGAGATACAGCCTACATGACACAAGATCAGATCAAGAAGGGGAACAGATGTAGGTACACACCACTCACTATCCAGTGCGAGGAACTTACCTTCAAAATCAAGTTGAAAGCCTTCAAAGAAGCTGGTGATAGACCACATTTCAAGTTCAGCACCCAGAACAGAAAGTGTACTGAAGGGCGAAACTAAAAAGAACATTTTCACGTCAGCCAGCCATCAGGACAAAAATGGGGGATATCAGGCAACATTCCTGAAGAAACCTGCATGGAAGAACACTGGTACTCTGTGAAACTGATATGAGGTGGAAGGAAACCTGCTTAATCGTGTCCTCGACGGACACATGGAAGCTGATAGAGCTGGGAGAGGAAGATGGTGAAGCAAAAGATGAATCAGTGCAGTGCAGTGCAAGGAGGAATAACGAAAAGAAAGAACTGAGTACAACGTATACAACACTACACTGGACAAAGAAGTGAAGAAGAGTGCGCGCAAAGATAAAAGACACTTCTACGACACTTGCAAGCGAAGCAGAACAGGCTGCAGGTAGGAGAGACAGAGACCTAACATTATATCAAATAAACGTGTTACTTTCTGGGAGGCAAGAGATCAACACAGACGGGACCAATGAAAGATAGTGAAGGGATTCAAGTTACCGCCGAAGAGGAGAAACAAAGGAAACGATGGGTTGACCACTGCAAAATTTCTTGGATCGACCACCGCTACCACCTGCACTTCGTACCACCAACAGCCTAGCCAAAGAACTGTCAGTTAGCACAAACCCTCCAACAAAAGCAGAAGTGAAGTCCAGAACGCCACGAAGTTTCTGAAAGCCGGGAAAGCAGCAGGACCAGATGGAATTCCACCAGAAGTACTTAAAACAGACGTAGAGATAACAACGGACATGCTCACACCATTATTGCAGAAGGTTTGCAAGAAAGGAAGGAAAGATACCTGCCCATTAATTGGAAAAGGGTTACTTTGTCACACTCCCAAAGAAGGACGACCTAAGTCTTTGCAAGATCTGGCGCGAAATCAACTTTCTGTCATTGTCCACCCCAAGCAAAATAATAAGCCGCATCATCTTGGAGAGAATGAAAAATGCTCAAGATTCAATATTACGACCGGAGCAGGCTGGCTGGCTGGATTCAAGAAAAACAAATCATGTGCGGATCAAACTGCAACCTTACATTACTCATCATCATAGGACAGAGTATAGAATAGCAGTTAACTCTCTACCTCAACTTCATTGGCTTCTATCGAGGCGTCAACCGACAAGCTATGTAGCAGCTGCTTCAACACTACGGTTTTAGTGCCAAAAACCTTTATCAACCTCATTCAACAGCTATATGCTATGTTATATGATGAGGCTACATGCCAGCCAAGTGATTCACAATGGAAAGCTCAGTGATGCCTTTGAAGTGAAGACAGGAAAGAGGAGTAAGACAGGGTTGCCGCCTACTATCACCGATGATCTTCCTGATTGTGGTTGACTGGAGTGGAGTGGAGTGGAGTGGAGTGGATGATGGAAGAAACTGTGAGGAGCTGTGAGAAGATGGGTATACACTGTTTATGAAGACCGATGAAAATACCCTAGGAGATTTGGATTTCGCCAGTGATGATGATTTGTGTTGATTGTTTCATTGCTCAAACTGGAAGATGTACAGGTGAAAAGTAACAAGTTGACAGAAGAGGCAGGCCAGGGCAGAGCAGAGCAGAACAGGGCAGCGAAGGAAGAAGTGACTTCCTTCAGGTGAATGTAGAGAAGACTAAGGTGATGAAGGTACTCAACCAACAACAAGCATCAATCACCATGAGCAGGAGAAATCTAAACGAAGATGTCTCTCACCTGCCTACTTACCTACCTAGGCAGCATCGTTTCAACTACAGGTGGCAGCATAGATGAGGATGTCAGTGCCATCCAGGATTGAAAAGACAGCAAGACAGGCCTTGCTGCATTAATCTGGAATCAGTGTGAAGATCTACTGCACTGCACTGCACTCAGCATAAAGCGTGAATAATATCTGGATTTTCAACACTAATTTAGTCGGGTAAGTCAGTGCTTGTATATGATGGTTGAGAGACTTGATTGCACGTTACGAAAAGCATTTCCAACAAACTGCAGACATACATCACATGAACAGCTGCCGCCTACACTCACTTGATACTGAAGATGGATCAGATGGCGAGAATAAGAATGATAAGCAAGAAGTAACTGTGGCCTGGAAACGAATCAACGAAGAACCTATCACGCGACAAATATGCAGAAGAAGAAAGTGGAGATGGATTGGATTGGACATACACTGAGAAGACGGTTTGAAGACATCACGTGCTAGGCCAGGCCGTCGAGTGGAAGCCGAATGGAGACGACGAGTTGGGTTTCTGAGGTGAAGGTGACATGGAGGAGATGATGTGAGGAAGAAATGAAAGTTTGTAGGGAGTCATGTTGGCAGGTTGAAAAGACTGGAGAGAAGAAAGTGTGATGGTGGCGTGCTAGTGAAGCCCTATGTTCCACTAGGAACCCAAGGGACAAATAATAATAATAATAATGATCGCTTACAGCTAGTAAGCAGGAAGTTCTTGGATCTATGCTTATCCCGGCTACAGATTGTGTTTTGGAGTGGTTGGTTATTGTAGACTGCAATTGCGTTTTATTTAACTTGGTGTCTGCATTTTATGCGCAAATTAACTGACTTTAATAAGCTTTTATTACATAAACACTACATGGGTTCGCGTCTGGATTTTGATTGGAATGCTAATTTAATTTTTTTTACCATGAATTCATTGACTTGTGTTTGATTAAATCTATCTAAATTTCCCCCTTTATTTCTAAGGCTTTTTATCAATCCAATATCATAGAAAAATTGCGTAATGTTGTGTGTAGTTCAACGTTTATGGAATCTAAATTTGCTGCGATGGCTTTGCATATTCTTGGCGAAGAAGTTCCAAGCAGATTACCAGCTCAAGTACCATTATGGGATCATGGCGAAGTCGAATGCTGGTTGTCCCGTGTCAGTTTTTTTACATATGTTCAATCTTAGCACTTATCAAAGATATCATCTTTGAAATGCAATGTATTTGAGCAATATATTTCAAATTGTCTCACATTTGCCTGTCAAAGTATTTTATGTGAAGGGCGAAAATAGGATGGGGTAAGGTAAATAAATTAAGATAGTACAAGCTTTAGGAAATATGGGGATAATAAGGAGGAACTATACGTTTTCACACCTCTTTTGCATTAAAATAAGATAAAGATTGCGAAGGTAGGTTTAGGGTAACCACAAATTGTTCTGAATATGCAAAGAAAGGTTTGAACTTACGCTTCAACGAACCGAAGTATACTCTCCTGTAGGCTCCTATATAATGGTCCAGAGGCTATTTTAGGATCAACTTTGTGACCTGTTTCTATAATGCTTCCACGTACAAAGGATGATTTCTGTCTTCCCCCGTCTTTATCAGATTATTTATATATATATAACTATCTTTCTAGCCATTTCGGTATTTGCTCCACCACCCTAGACTTCATATTTTGATAACTCCGCCCAGTGTATGTCGCCGCGCACACATGTAAATTGGTATACACAGTCGGATATGACGTAATTATCTATGTAGTGATGAGGTTAGTTTTGAAGCATTTCGTTTTTTCGATACTATTGAGCTTGGCTGCGAAGTATGTTTTTAATAACGAAAATAGGCCTTCGTCTTATGATAAGACTGTTTGATTCCTTCTTATGCGGTAGCGGGATGTAAACATCCTTCTTCTGGACGTAATACTAATTAGTTCGCACCTTGCAGACGTTTTCATAACGATTTCTAAACTTCAGAGGATATGCGTTTTTCATTAGTGTCTCTCCTGTATCATCTTGATTCATTTACCTTACCCCATTCTATTTTCACCCTTCATGTAAAATGCCTAAGCTGGTAAATGTGTGACCAGATTTTTCGAAATGCATTGCACAAATACATCACATTTCCCCAGATAACCTACGTCTTGTTATATCATGCAAATTCATCAAAGAGAGTAATTATTACTATTTATTGATATGCTTTTATTTCTTCGTTGTTTTTCTGGATCGAATTGTCCGACCTCTATTGGCATATGGCCTCCTATGTAGATGCCTTGAAGTGGCCTGAATACTAATTATGGTAATTTACTTGGTTATGGCTAGCAGAGGAATCCACGACGCGCATTTCGTCCGATGTGGGTCTGATTTGTCATCTGGATGTACCTTTACCAGTGCGGAGTGTTGTTCGCACTGAGACTCGAACCTCGTACCCATCGCTTCAAATGCAAAAGAGGAGAATTACAAGTGTTTTGGCGAATGGTAATAAATAATACCCTTTTTCAAGAGGTGGCTTTCTTGTTTCAGTGGCCTAGTGGATAACGCTCTTGCGTTTGAAGCGATGGGTATTAGGTTCGGGTCCCAGTGGGAACGACATCACTCACTGGGGTGCAGGTACGCCCAGCTGACGAGCCTCAAATAGGACGAAACGCGCGTCGTGGATTTCTCTGCTAGCCACAACCAATTAATTAGTATTCAGGCAATATCGAGGTATCCGCATAGGAGCCCATGTGCCAACAGAGGTCGAACAATTCAACCCAGTAAAACAAATGGATCAGTCATTCCAAACATATCATCTTTGTTAACTTGTAGTCTAATATATGAAATTACTTCAAAATCCATAGTTTCTACTATGGAAATAGAAACCTTTTTCAATTACGTGCTGCTGACAAAATTATTAATATCAAGCTAAGTAGTATCATACTAATTCATACTGTATCATCTGACTTTTTGTCATTTACTGCCTGCATTCTACTATGTTCAGTATCAGATTATTATTATATTGATTGAATATACTGAAACGAAATTAACCAAGATGTAGAAACTCATAGGAAATGATACAGTATATTGGAGAGGATTATGTATGTATATATATATATATATATATATATATATATATATATGAGTACTTTTAAAAATAAACGTATAGGATCTAAGAATACCTACCAGTTCTTGTAGTGAAAGCAAAATATTCCATTGATAAACATTTCAGGAAGTTGAAGTTCAGTCGGATTAAACTCATACTTATAAGGCTGTGAAATAGAAATTCCTCCAAAAAGATATTACCTCTATGAAGAGGCGTTCATTTCATTGAATGAAAAGACATCAGGACTGAAATGATAACTGCATTTCAAAAAGATTGAATGAGATGCTTCGAAATCACCTCATATGTGACTAGGTGAGTAAAACGTTTACTCTTTATTTAATTATGGCCAATTGACAGTCGTTTCTTTTCAAGCATACAGTTCAGATTAAACTGAAAACTAACTAATAATATTTTGAATTTGATTCAGCTTATACCAATTTCTCACTAAAATCTGCTTTGGTTTTTTATCGTTTTGAAAGGAATAATTCATATGTCATCAAATTCTTATGCATAAAAATATCAAAAGGCTTATTCTCTCAAAATGTTATAAATAAATTCTTACTATTTGTTGATAGCCGAAAATATTGATAACAGCAGAATCGATATTCGCAAGAAAGTTATGTTGAAATTATAAAAAAATCACATCATATCCAATAATTACTGTAATCCTAATGACAGATGGTCAACCTTAATATTCAACGACATCAGAAAGATCCTGAAGCGCTCAGTATGGTCTGTTAGATTCTTGCAGTATTAATCTTAAGTGCTACAACAGTTCAAATTATTGAACGTGATATCTGTTTAGTCATCAATGTAAGTATCAGTCTATCAAATAAGACTACTTGAGTCTATTTGTTGTTCAACCAGTTACTTCAGTGTCTAATTCAACTCGATTAGCACTAGAACAACGAGATACAATCGAGATTATAATCAGTTAGTTACTTGCGGCTTATTTGCATAACAATTGAGGAAAACTTCGATCGAAGTAAAATGTGAAATCTGTTCAGTTTTTAAACTTCGTAGTTCAATCAATAGTCCACCGAATCGTTTACGTAAAGACTATTGGTTCGAATCCTATACTAATCTGAGTTTTGTTTCAACTGCAACCATCAACCTGGTTTATATAAATATCTGTGTGTGAATTATGAATTACTTACATAGTCCTATCAATTATCTCTGGCTGATAACCGCCCAAGTTATCAAGATGTAACTCACTAACTTTAGCACTCAATTTTCAAGTAACGAATCACTAGATCCAAAACTTGTTGCATTTAATCTACCCCCTGCAGTCATGCAGTATTGTAAACCTTCACACTGTAACTGAAGCTCAGTACACGAGACTTTTACTAAATCTACTAGGTAAATTAATCATCAACCTTTTAGTGATAGTATTTTCTTTGTGATCACATCAATTTATTACTTCATTTCTCATGATATGTAGTTTGTAGAAAATAAAGTCTGTCAGACCATATTTGATCCAAACAATTTGAAAATTTTGAAAGATGTCCTAACTATTCCTTTAATCATTATGAAGACTTATAATTATTGTTTATCATCCCAGATAACTTTCCATATGATATCTTAAACAGCTGTTTGTTCTTAAGGTGTGTTTGTAAGGGTGATATGAGTACATAACATAATAGCAGGGTAGTGTCACATAGCTGTATATACTTTACTTCTTCATCCGATGTTCCAACAGTATATCCACCCTAGAAAAACGTATTTGAAGAATTTGAGATATTAAGATAGTTTTAAAGCTTTGATAATGGCATCGTACACTCTGCAACAAACAAGTTCAATAAGAATTAGCTATCTTTTAAGAAATCACAATATGTGTTAGTATTTAGCTGATTTAGATCCAAGTTAAATGAAACAATTGGTTACATGAAGCCCAGTTGTTGTTTTAATTGGTACCATCCGTTGAAAGACATTTTCTTTTTTTCAGCTTTGATTTGTTAATATGTTATTCTGATCAACAACAAAAATGTTACACGGTATAACACAGCGAAAGGGAATAAGAATAATCACTTTATTTTAAACAATATGATTTATACAACATGGGATTCTCAGCAAGTTCACTACCTTAACGAAATGGTCACTGCATCCGAATCATGCTAAAGGCAATAATGCTGAATAGTCAGCTGATATTAGATTAGCTTCCAATCTAGAATGGAAGATATATAGAAAATCGAATGTAAGTTTGATGTTGATGGTTCATTCAGCCAATACAAGAGTCTACCATTCGAGTTAAGCATCTGAAGAGTGGAAATGTGAGAACTTTTTGCACAACAATAAGTTGATTTCCATTGAACTTGACATTTTTTCTTCGTTTGACGGGGAGAAATTTTGGTAGCCCAAGGTCCAAGCAAGCCACTTTGAGTAAACGCCAATTTCTAACATCAAGAATAAGGTGGCAGTTTGCATACATGCATTGGAAAAAAACACTTTTGTTAACCTAATAGATAAAAGTTTATTTTTCTCTGACACAATAATGCATTACATCCAAATTGCATAATATATACAAATCATACGAAATATCCTTAACTTTTATTGACTAATCAGTCTATAACTCTTAAATTCCAGTGAAATCTTTCTTTAAGTTTTCAAATATAAAACTCTGTAAACTGTTTTTAGCAAGTCATATCACCTGGGTACAAACACAATAAACTATAACTGACTTGATTGTGACTAGCAGTGAAATCTAGGACTCACCCTTCATCCTATTTCACTTTTAGCCACAGCCAAGTCAGTTATAACAATAAATATTCAGGCGACATCGCGAGGCATCCACATAGGACGCCATATACCAACAGAGATTGATCAATTCAATCCGTTATAATAACAACGAATTACAAATATCATAAAATAATAACAGTAAACTATAGTTTGAAACTAATTTCTCTTTCTTCCAACTTTATCATAGAATTTACGACAAAAACTAATTCATTTGTTCAGAATAATCAACACTTGTATACATATTAGTGACGAATAGTGGCTAGTAGTGGAATCAAGGATGCGCATTTCGTCCTATTTGGGGCTCGCCAGCTGGATGTGTCTGCCTCACAGTGTTTGATGTTATTCCCCGCTGGGACTCAAACTTTTGACTAATCGCTTCAAACGCCAGAGCATTATCCACTAGACCACCGAGCAATGACAATTGTGTACATAGTTGGAAAGAGGAAGAAAAAGTAAACAGCTATTGAGAATTTTAAATTACACATAGGTATCTTTAACTGTAACGGTCACAGGTTTTACCAGCTGAACAGAGTACAAAAATCTTGACATTGAATACAAAGACTACAACATAATGCATATTTTACAAACAGTTAAGGAATACTATCTATCAGTTTTTTAAAATTTGTATTCTGTTTTCAGTAAAAGTGTTTTTTAGCGCTTAATGATGTTGTTCGATGCCCCTAATTATAATACTCCCCACCATCCTTGTCAAGTACTTTGTTTTCGCTATCACTTAGAAGTAAGAACTAACAATAAGTGATATTGTCACCACTGATACTGATGAAGTATTTTTTTTTTGGTGTATTTCATTTACATATGTAGAGAGGATTCAAAGAGTTAGCTTACAAGTTTTCAGATTTACGTGTTGATGGAGATTTATTACTTCGACTAGATGAATGCATATTAGAAAAAGATTTAGGAGTTAAAAATGGTATAACCCGATCTCGGTAAGTTGAAACCTATAATAATAATTTATAATATTTTCAAATATCTAGACTTCTGCGTGAATTATGCTCTCTAAAGATAAATGCAGATTATTCAGCTGTAGATCCAACTGGAATATGTGCTTGGCTGCGTGAAGCCACCCATATCACTGCATTGAACAGTACAACTACTCCAAGAAATCCAACTACATCAGACTACAATTTAAATGAAAATGACTTTCAAAATAAGCTTTCCACCACCAATATATCGAATACATGTGGACAATATTGCTATACACATGATTTATCTTGCTTAAACCAATCTTTTGATTTGCTTCAATACGCATATAACTTGATTTCAGCCGGTGTACATCGTCCTTTCTTACCATACTTATCCGATAAGATGCTGTTAGAAGATTGTCAGATCAAAAATGGAATACACCGTAAACGTATTCTAGACGCTATACAGTGTAAGTAAGAATTATAATTTGTGTTCATTCATTTAATGTATGCTTATCAATGGTGACGATTTTCAGCAAAATCGTATCCAGTTTTTCGCATTACTTACTAACATAAACAAATTTTTATCACTAGTAACTAGTTTTAGCCTGTAGTTCCTTATCATTGATTAAATCAAATTGATCCACCACTATTGAAATCTGTACTCCTGTGTAAAGGCTTCCATTTTGTCAGTAATTTCATTTTAATATTCATGGTTGTTAGGTAGGTGGATCTAGCTGACGAGTCTCAAGTATTACGAAACGTGCGTCATTGATTCCACTGGGTAGCTACTATCCACCATAAGTATGAACCGAGAAAATATTTCAGTGTAGTATTCATCTATTATCTACTATTTTTTTAAATCTGAAAGACAGAATTAAAAATATATGCTATGGCTTTTTCGCATGCAAATGAATAATATTACGAAGTTACTTCCTAAGAATTATAGACACTTGGAATATTTTTATCCTTCTGAGCCTCATTTAAGTATCTTTAAAGGTATGAGTAAGACAATATTAAGATTCATTCATGTTAACAAATTATTCAGTCGAAAAACTAAGTTTGAAACCTCATGTTACACTATGAAAGCAAGTGGAATTTCAGTTTCATAAATCCAATAGTATATTATCTCAAAACTAAGGCCTACATCCTGACTTACTGCTTATTTAGATCATGACTTCTTGAACATTACCATTTAGGTGTATCTTACGAGTCCTAATGAATATAAGAAAGTCATTTATTGTACTAAAATTCATGCAAAAAATGCAATCCTTTTATTTTTCCTCCATTCTAAAATATTAAAATCTTCAGTTGTGCAAATATACGAAGCTATGCATGAATCCTTATGAAAACGATTCTTTTTTTGAGATTACATCTGTTTAGTGGTATACGAAAAAACATATTGTTCGGAACATATTAAGCGTTTGTTCATCATACATAAACACTAATTACATAATAGTTAATTGTTTATGCACTGAGCTATGAATCATACTTGTTGTGTGAGAGCTTCTCAGACTCCCCAGTTGTCAAGGCCGAAGTTAACAGTGGAGAACTTAATCCAATGAGCTACTTCTTCGCTCTGATTACATAATTTTCAGTAAGTTGATTAAGTTTTTCATAATACTGTGTTGTTGAACATGAAATAATTACTCTCTAATCACCTTCTACTCGGATTTTAACTTGATAACTGGAAATATATCTGTTGATCGCTGACTAGATAATGTGTGTAATACAATTCACAATTCGATTTCTTTTTAAACTATATTGATGATTTTCATCAAATTTATTTTTCTCGTTGTATTTCAATAATTTTTATCTTTATGTCAGCTTTCATTACAATGCACAATCAATTTCGTCTAACAGATCATGATTCCAAGTTGAATATCTTTGCTCAACCAGATAAATATATTGATGTATTTATTTCTTATCGTCGTTCTAATGGTTCACAATTAGCAAGTCTATTAAAAGTTCATTTTCAATTACGTGGCTATAGAGTATTTTTAGATATTGATCGTCTTACTGCTGGAAAATTTCATGAATCACTTCTTCACTCTATCCGATCATCACATAACTTTGTTCTTGTTTTAACGCCAAGAGCATTAGATCGTTGCTTAAATGATACTCACTGCACAGATTGGATACATAAAGTAAGTGAATATTTTTTTGTATTAAAAAGTTATTTGAAATAATTGAATAAAACGAGCATTAATTTAAAAATTTCGTGAAGGATATATATCACTTTTTTCTCTTGGGAATACACGTGAGTAAACATTTACTTTGACAAAGAATATTTTGTTGAATATCATGTTCAAATTAAAGGTTTGCTGGTATTTTAAGATAAATTAATGAAGATTTGGATAGCATTTCTATACAACATTATGAATATAGTTATAAGGAAGAATAGTCACATACATACATGTACTTATCATTTACATGGACTTGAAATTTATGTGAAAAATGGCTTCAGTTGAAAAAAGATGATATGAGAATGTTAAATTAGAGGTTGAATTGTGGCCAATACCGTTGGAAGAAAGGTATTATATATCGATCTTCATTTCAAAGTGAAACAGCCAATAGAGGTTGAGTGCAGTGACAAACTCTTCTTCAATGTATAAAAAAAGCTTATGTTTTTCTGATATCTAAGGATACTGAGAATTTAAAAAATTGCTCTGGAGAAGCTCTGTAAAATAAACAGTACTATGCTGAGCTTCCTGGCTTGGTGATCACACTACAAATACGATCGATAGGATCCCATCTGCACTCAGGACTAGAGAACATGGAATTGGTTGTTCTCTTGTGACTAATCAGTAACCCAGTCCTACAGGAGGTCAATCAGGGCCTGAATAGCTGAGTGGTAAAGTCACTGACTACTACACTGGGTGATGCTGCTTCAGATCTCAGGTGGAACATCAGTTCCGTTGAGGTTGCAGATACGCCTTGCTGACGAGTGCCAACGAGCACGTAATCTAGGTGTAGGGCTTCCTGCCGATTGCGCCTAATCAACTAACATCTATTTGAAAAGAATTTGTGGAACAAGATGTATTCGGCGTTTCAACAGTCACGTATATATAATCTCAATAAGGAAATCAATAATCACTTAAAGAAACTAACTTTTTTTTTGTAAGTTCTTTAAATCTCAGTTGACTTTTCCTCAATAACACACTGAAAAACAGATAATAAAGAAAGCTGAAGTTGGAGAACCATTGAATGAACCATTCGTCAGTCCATGATAAATACTATCTCTAAATTAAAATCCCCATTCATCTCAAAAATACATGACTGCACAGAGCTCATTAGTGACATGCTTCCAGATGGATATCATGAGGTTTTCACGAGTTGTGACCTTTGGGGTCAACCAGTCAGAAGAGAAGTGGATGCCAACTGAAGACCTTGGGTGCTAGTCGCGCTATTTCATGAATTGACAGAAGCTGCAAACTCTGAACCGCAAAAAACCGACCCAGTGGCTGAATGGTTAACGCGGTCGCCGTGAAACCTGAAGGTCCTGGGTTCGATTCCTAGCCGTGTGGTGGGTGTGTACTGCTGAGGAGTTCTATGCACATGCTAGTAATAAACCTGTTAACAATAGTTCGCAATGTAAGGAATAGTTGGGTTTACACTATATTTTAGGACATACTAACCTTTGAAGTTAGGAATGTATAACTATCTTTTTTCGTCAAAATAGTGATCGGATTTTTCAGGTAGATATGACAGAAAATTGATGCCAACAACTTTTGTGCATCTACCGCGTATCTTGTACTCACTCATAAGCTCATTGTTTTCGTAGTTTTCTTCAATGTTTTACCAACCTTTATTTTCTCGATATTATTGAGTTGTTAAGCAGAAAGTTAATATATTGTTCTTTGATTACCATCCTCAGTATTAAACAAAACGTATTGGTTAGGTTGTACAGTTCAAAGATCGAACTATATGATTCAGCATCATATTCCGCTCCCCCCCCCCCCCAGTGGTGAACAATGAATACCACTAGTTATTACTCGGGAGTCAGTTTCCCTGATCTGTGTTATCTATTAAGCATCAGTCACAATTGAAATAGCCCAGTAATTGCGTCTCCGTCATATGTAAATAATACTAACCCGTATTCCATTGAAAGAAAGACTAGGTTTCAACCTACCCTTGGGAGTTACGTGTTGGCTACAATCAGTCAACTGAAACTAAGAACAAAGGTTGTTCATTACATAATCTTATGATGGTGCACTTCTTAATCAAGACTATTAGTAGGAAAATGGTTAAAAATGTTATAGCCATATTACTAACACTATTCGCTGCCTGTTTTCATATCTTTTTTTACCAATTTATTCATGAACTGTTCCACTATTCGATATATATATATGTATATTTTACACAGGAAGTTGTTTGTGCATTGAAAAGTGAATGTAATATTATACCAATTACTGATAATTTTACTTGGCCTCCTGCTGAATCATTGCCTGAAGATTTACGACCTATAATCACCTACAATGCTGTCAAGTGAGTTTTGACCTAACAATAAAAACTGAATACTATAAACTCTATTATTGCATCACTTAACTTATATATGTTATCATTTGACTATCTGGGATGACCTTAGTTTGACAGAGTAGTATTGATACTGGTTGATGATTAAAGGTGAAATGAAAATTTGGACCGCGGCCGGATTCCAACCAGCCACTATCAGGTTTCCGGCCCCATGCTCTACCAACTGAGCTACGATGTTGGACTGCTGACCAGATTTTTATTTCACTTCAATCGCCAATGTGGATTCTGCCCGACTGTAATGTGAATTCGTTGCGACATTTTACTACCACTTGATAGTATTCACACTGGTTGCCTAGTCAAGACTTCTTATCCCAATCCGAAAGTAACTGAATTCGAGGGGTGGGGGAGCATCATATTGATTATCATTTGACTATCTGAGATAGCTGTAGTTTGGCAGACTATGTATGTTAGGCATCACCTTTCATTTAGTTTTGACCTATAAAAGTATATTTCTCTTCTTAAACAAATATGGAACTTTCTGTAAACGGTCCCATACTCTGGATTGCTGACTCGAAAAGAACTTTCTAGGGTATTGTCCTTTAAGGTGACTACTTGGTTGCTTCGCCTAATACTGAAATAGGCTTCATTGATAATATACATATTCCGAAGGTGATCGATAGAAATTCTTGGACCTAGGATTTTCAATTTCGTATACAGTAGATTAAATCTCTAAGATTGCAATTCTTTTCAATAACTACGAACAAAACTTTCCTATTATTTATGAACCTATTCATCAGATTATTCCCAGTAATTAACTATGATTAAGGTTGTGACATATATATTTGCAGTATTTTCTGATATTATATGCTCAATGCAACAGTGAATTTTCATTTGGCTCACTAAATATCGTAACCTTGACAGTATGGTGCTGTTCGGGTCATCCTTAAGCACTAGAGTCCAGTTTGGTTTAATGATCACGTGAAAACTATACACTGAAAGTCAGTTTTGTTGAGATTATGAATACTACCTTGTATGATGTTATATATATTCAATTTACTGGTGAATGGTTCACCGTGTCAACATAACAGTCCTTGGTAGCCTGCATTTCCAGAGTGTTCTTATGTTCAAGAACCGTTTTAAAGGGTTTTTAGACATTGGTATAATGAAGTAACAGGAAATTAAAGCAAGATATTCCATAAATAGTCTGAAACACCAATATCCTATATGAATGTGTTAATGAAGGTTTTTTGAAGCTTATGCTGAGGCTTCCCTCTAATCTCTTTTGGCGTTTTGTAAAGTTGTATTACAGCATCTTATCACCAATCATAGAGACCGAAACCACCCAATTAAGAAATTCGACTTCAGCTATTGAACCAACTTACTGAAGCAAAATGAAATAGTTTCCAAATGGCCTGTCGTTTTTCAAGCATTAAGATTTCATTCGATCTCCGAAGCGAAGATATTTCCCGAACTCATTCTTTACTTATCCTTGAAGCTTACTTTTTCCACCCCAGCATACCTACTCTCTCACAATCTGTTTCTAACCTGTATTTTGTAATGATTTTTTGATAATTATAAATCTCTTTTTATCTAAAACTTCGTGATTGGTCTTTTTTTATCCGAATCGATTTCATTACTTCTACACTTCAGTATTACACTTATTTCGCCCATATTAGTCTTCAATATTGATTGTGTCATTTTGCAAATTACAAGATACTATATCAAACAGACGCTGTGTCGAATTAGTTCTGTCCTATTCTATGCATAGTAGCAGGCTTGCTCAGTGGGACACTGTCTTATTGTTGTATACCATTTCTGACTTAACTGAAAAGCATAACGAAATGGTAACATTGCTTTCTTTGCTTTTGTGCTATTGATCTAGTAGCTGACTTGCAGAATAAAGATCAGATGTAATATTCCATTATCTTAATTCAAGTGGTCCACAGTTTTGAGCATGATGCAGATAAGTTGTCATCAGATGGTTTGATATCCTGATTTGAGTACGTCTGACGAAGATATTCATAGAATGCCAAACCGTTTTTGAAAATGACGAACCTTCGTAGCAAGAGACTTCGTTAAAAATAATTTCACCTAGTGTAACCTGCTTATGACTACAAGGTAATCATCACCACACAACGACAGAAATCATGGCTGTAGTGAAAACCCGGGAGAACTGAACGGCTATTTCGTCCTAGTCTAGGACTGTTAGTTTGATGAAGGCAATCGCTAGAAAGCAGTTCTAGACCTGGGTTTCGTACTTTTTGCTACTCATGAGCAAGGCATATCTACAACCTCTAGGTGACTGACGTCCCACATGAGATCCAAATCCATGTCACCTGGTGTTGCAGTCAGAGACGTTACCACTGAGCTACTGACCTCCTGTAAGAGTGGATTAGGTAGGTCGATTGGTCACTAGAAGGCAACCAAACTCATGTTATCTAGTTCCGTGTGCCGATCGAATTTTGTCGATCATTTTGCAATGATACCAATAATGGGACTGGACTACTTCGAATATGTATTATCAAATATCAGTTAGGATATACAATGTAAATAGTGACCACCTAGTGGTTCATTCTAACTTAGAATAACACTTACGCTGGATCCGTCTGATTTAAGCCTCATCATAAAATATTTGAAACAGTTCCATTTTTCTAGATAGCAAGCATTTATGTATCGTACTTCAGTAATTAATAAGGAAAAAGATTGAAAATAATTTTTGAAAATTATTGGTTTTCTTATTTTATTGCTATTACATGATTACATCCATATTTCCCCTTCACAGAACTTTAAACTTACAAAAACAATTAAGGCATAAAGACAAAAATAATTCATGCATAGTGGTGTATGTATGATGTTACAATTAATGAAACAAACGGCGACATATTAGAAAGAAAAAAATTAGAAACTACAATAAAAAAAAACCAATTAATTGTTTGCTGTCTGGTTGATTTACTGCTCCGACAAAATCTAAAACTCAACTTAGATAGCTTCAACCCACTATTCATTATGTTACAATAATGCACTTTTTCCAAATGATTTTCTTCGTCCCTTTGTTTTACTGCATCTGAAAGTGATTGGGAAGTTGGATGCATTTTCATTATAAACCCCACTGTGTGTGTGTGTGTGTGTGCTGAAAACATTTGTACAAGGAAGATACTTTGCCATTTTGTAGAACAATCAGCTACCTTTCTTTGACTATTCAAAATATCACTGTGATGAATATATAAATTAATTTGAAAAACATGACACTGATAATATATCACGTTTTTTTTTCCCTTGTGAATTTCCGTTTGCTTAAAGGTAGACGGTAATTCGATGGTATCATCGATCTAATGGAAAGTAAAACAAAAGGTTTATGCTTAATCTAAATATTGGATAGATTTTTTGAAAAAAACCATTAAGACTTTTGCTAACCTATCTTGCATAGTTTTCTTTAATCTTTCAAGTTCAACTGACATCGAATACTTGAATTATGCTTGCCTATTTCGTCTATGATTATATGGAAGGAATCATTGCAGATCAGTAGTTAATTTTAAAAAAAGAAAATGTTTTGACAAGCAACAGAACATACGTTACAGTCGAGTTAAACTACCATCTAACTAATCTAGCGAAATGTCAATACTAAGGGCATCGCGATTAGTTCTATCAGTGCCACATTACTTAGGTTGACTGACAAGCCATCATATTCCATATAAGATTTGTTTATTTAATTTACAGCACATAATGATACAGTATTATTTACTTAATGACGTTTCGAGCATAACAATGTAACCACACAACTTTCAACATCTGATTTTTATAGTCCTGTCACCTGATATTCTTTGTTTTTATTAGTGGTAAAATTCTTCATATCTCCGGCATAAGTGTCGCGTCATTTCTACTACGTGTTGGGTGTTGATTCAATGAATAAAATTCAGTAGCTAGTTTACCTACCTACCTAATTATATTTAACTAAAGTTCACTGGTTTTCCATCCCACCCAATTGTGTAGTTGTGTGTTATTGCATATATTGCAGTATCCGAGTGTTTTTCTATATTATTGATCCTATTGAAATCTGTTATTCTATATTTGGCTAAGTTCCTATATTCCGATAATCTGAGTGACCCTGATCGGCTAGTTTGACCTATGTACTTGACCTCGGAGTCATTGGATCCAATTCGGTAGATTACATTCTTTGGCTAAGTTGAATTATTGGATCCTACAAACAGCCGGCAAAGCTTATCTCTGTTGAGTTTGTAGGTGTGAATGCCACCCTAATTCCAGCTTTGTTACAAATCCTGCCTAAAGTTTCTGATGTCCCTACCTTGTATGATAACGCAATAGAGGCTTTGAACTCCTTCCTTGTCTTGTCGTTATTATTCTTATTCGTACTGTTGTTATTATTTTGTTTCCTGTGTTCGTACTGATTTTTTAATAAACTGTAGAGGATAGTTAGTGATAAGTAACTTTTCTTCTGTGTTTCAATTTCCTGTTTAAGTCCTTGCACTTGTTAGTAAATTTTCTAGCTCTATTATTTATACATCTGACTAAACCTACTTTAACTGTACATTGGGTGAGATGACCTGAAGTCTAGATACCTGTTAGACGGTAGTATCTTTGTTTTACTCTAAAATCTAACATAACAGTCATATTTGTAGGAGATGAAGCAGAAGTTTGTTTTCCTTTTTTGGGATAATTATCTAATCACTTTCATGTGAACTATTCTATAGAACTTGAACTAGTTTAATTACTCTTCTTGATTCGGAAATGAACTGGATTTACCATCCATCATTTCCCGTTCTACCTGTGACTTTTGTATACATGCAGAAGCTGCCTAACGATTTATATATCTGTATATATGTTGGTGTTTTAAACACCAAATAACATTAGTTGGTTGCAGGTAATCGTCAGGAAGCCTTGGACCTACGTATCGTACTTGTTAGCACTCGTCAGCGACGCATATTTACAACCTCGAGGGAACTGATGTCCTTGATATCGGCTGCCTCCAACTAAGTAACATTCATCAAATACATCAAGATGGTGAACTTACCAGCTTGGTGGTCACATTACAAAATGCTCGCTGGAATTCGACCAGTACTCAGGATTAGATAACATGAAATTTATTGCTCTCTAGTGACCACTTAATGTATGGCCTTTGTGTATATCCAGAACTATGAAACCTTAAATAAATGTAAAGTTTTCATTAGGATTTTATTTTAGAAGGAAACATCATGCTTGTCTTTTATTGTTTTTAAGTTTGCCGTTTATTCTCAAATTTTTATCTAAATTAAAGCACTAGATACAAACATACTGATGAATATTTATTTTCCAACATCCACTTAGTAAATAATTAGCAGTTTTTTTGTATAATCCTTTCCATCTGTAATCGAAATGGACATAAATAGTTTAAGCTCATTTTTTAGCAGGTGAAATTAGGATGAAAGTTGATGAATCGATATGAAATTCATTAGAATTGCATACATGTTATAAAAATACTGACTATGCTTATTTATATTAAACTATTCTGATTTTGAATCATGTAAGTAGTAGAACGTTAGAGCTATAACAGTTGGACATTTTGATATTCTTATTGCTTACTATCTACTAGACTATTAATTTTTATTGTAAACTATATTACTCATGTATCCTACCTGGATAAACAATCATCTTTTCATCAATTCAGATATGAATCCGTGTTCATATTTTCATTTTACCAGAAATATCTCCCCCAAAAGATGCAGGAAATTAATGCAACATATATAGTCTGTGTTACATACTAGCGATGATAATTAACAATATAGTGAAAATTCCACTGGAAACTTTTTATGAAATAATAGTCCTCAGTATTATTGTGGTACAATAGCATAATGATGTACATACAACAGTCATCATATTTCAAACCCGAATCAGATCATTTTAGCTCTAACCGATAGCTATAGAAATATGTCTAATAACCAAATCGAAATTTATGGAAGTAAGTCAATAAGGTTGTGAACCTTCACCGTTTGAGGCGGCTTGGACATGTGATGCACATGTCGAGTCGCCGCTTATCTTGACGTGCAATACTGAGAAAATATAAGGATAAATCGTGAACACTATAGTATAGTGTAATTCATTCTAAGTGATTTATTAGAAGTATCATACTGTGGAACAGTATTACTTACTATATCACTTTTCCGACACAATTTATTGTTCATAGTTATATCAGCATAGCTACACAACTTTGAGACATCGTTTTTATAGTCCTAATTTTATCTCTTCCTTTGTGATATGGATAACAGGATTTTCCATATACTTGGAACAGGTGCTAAGTCACTCCTGTTGGTTGTATCAATTTATATTGGGTGATAATTGAAGGGGAAATGAAAATTTGGCCCGCGGCCAGATTCCAACCAGCCACCACCGTATTTCCAGCCCGTTGCTCTACCAACTGAGCTACGAGGTCCGGTGGTTGCTGTTCGAATCCGGTCGCAATCCAGATTTTCATCTCACATTCAATCATCACCCAGTACGAATACTTGTCTGCTAAACCACGGCTATTCCAGATAGTCAAAATGATGATTGTATCGGTTGTTAATTCAATAAACAAAGACTCAGGTATCAATCTCTCCCTCCACCCCACTATGTTGGTTTTAAGGATTCCCATCTTGTCCCCTTCTATTGTGTGGTTGTGTATGATTGCATGCATAGCTATGACTGAGCATGTTTCTAAATTTCTTATGTAACTAGGATCCACCAATTTTTACCTACCTAGGTGTTTGTGCTTGAATAGCCTAACTTACCCCGGTCGACTATTTCCACCTATGTATTTGACTTCGCAATCGTTGCA